CTGTTGACCCATGTCAATAGCTTGATAAGCTTCCAATAAATTTTGTCATAATTTTATCAAGACGTACGTATTGGATTTAGACAAGCTCTAGGGTTTGCTTTGTTCGCTTACGAGAGATATAGTGGCAACACATTAAACCGTTTTGTTCGGCTGTCTGTGTGTTATTACACCACAAATATATACATAATAGAAATCTCTATATTTATATCATGTATATCTGGATTCTTCTTTGAGGCAGTTCAAAAGCTGTACCACTCTATTTCAATACTGAAATAACGACCCGTGAAGATCCGTATTAGAATTAATCTTCAGTAACCCATGCTTGTCGTAAGAGGCGACTAACGGGATCAGGTGGTCAGGCTCGCTGACTTGGTTGACACGTGTCATCGGTTTCCAATTGTTTAGATCGATGCTCATGCTGTTGATCACTGGATTGTCTGGTCCAGACTCGATTATTTACAGACTGAAGCCATATAGCTGGCATATTGCTGAGTGCGGGGTAAAACTAAACTCTCTTACTCTCTGAAATAATTATCGAGCAGTTAAGTTCAGTAATACCCAGTGGGAATAACAAGCATCACTGTAGGCTGATTGGCTAGTTCGTTCAAGCTGTTCCGTTCCAAAAAATCTATATAAGTCGGCGTTTTATCCCAAGAATACCACAAACAGACGACCCCCTGACATTCTGTAACCGCGTTATCGTGTCTCTGTGACCTGTTGACCTACACATATAGCTCGATAAGCTTCCAATAAAATTTGTCTTAAACCTATCAAGAAGTACATATTGGACTTAGACAAGCTCTTGGGTGTGCATTGTTCCTTAGATATAGAGGCAATACATTAAACCGTTGTGTTTGGCTGTCCGTGTGTTATTACACTACATAGATATAACTATAGATATCTCTATATTTATATCACGTACATCTGAAGTCTTTCTTTGAGGCATAAGGACAGTTCAAAAGCTGTACCACTCTTCATTTTAACGCTGAGATTATCGAGCAATTAAGCTCAGTATCTCTCAGTGGAAATAACAACCATTGCTTTATGCTGATTTCACTAGTTCGTTCCAGCTATTTCATTCCAAATATGTTTTCACGAACACCTGGTGTCATGTGGTGTTATCACTGACGTTTTGATACTCTACTCATACATGTTTTCACCGCTGATTTGCCTTTAACGATCAAAGGAATTAGTTTCGGCAAATCGGAGAGCGGATCGTCATACAAAAAAGATGTTAAAAATATGGAACTTGTTGTTCCCTGCCTGTCGCTCGGCATTGATGGGTGAAACGTGGACTGGTCAGTTCGAAGTCAGTATAATGTGTCTGAGTAGGTTATTCATGCTTAACTGCGCGTCATGGTATCTCAGTGAGCTAGCTCTATAAAACCAGCTTAAGTCTGGGCTAGTACAAGTAGCCGCACATACACACGAATGTATGTCGTCAAATATTCTTAAGTACGACGTTTAACCCCATTTCATCTCACCTCACCTCACCTCACCTCACCTGTTTCGGCAGATACATGAGATAAATATTTTCCATCGTCAATATGTCTCAGTTGATGTTTCGTGGGATCACGAAATCACATATGTTTACATTTGCCATAACTGATTATCTGTAAAAGCAGGAATAGATTACTCACAAATTGCAATTACACAATATCTGTCCAAAATTAGGAATTATCTGATAGTCTGCAATTCCTCATAGCTTATTCTCTAACTATTCCAAAAATTGATCAGATCACAAACATCATTTCTGTTTCGTCTTCCTCCACAAAACTAATTGTCCTGTTATATGCTGAAGACACTGTATCAATAGCCACAGCGAGCCTGGAATTACAGAAACAATAAATATATGTTGACAAGTGAACAATTCTAACACTGAACGAAAATTAGAAAGAATATGAAAATACATTTATGTTACAGAACAACAACCATCAGAATCGTAAAGAGTAAAAATATACAAACATTTTGGAGTAATTTTCCATGAATGTATTTTCACAAAACAATCACATAGTGAAAACATCCTTAAAGCTATTAAATTTATATTATCAAACGTCAGATTACACAACTTATCTAGAACTACCCAACCAAAATGATGCCATTGTACCACCTATTTCAACACACCGTTAAGAAATATGAGGCTCTGAAAACTTAAAAATGATTGAAAGTATTCAAGTGACTTTCGTAAGAAAATTACATTCAAATTATTCTCTTCCAAACAGGTTATAACTGCAGCTGGACTTAAAACTACAATAGAAAAAATAATATTCCCGAAATTGAAATTAGGAAACTGTCTTGAAGACCAATAAATCTGGAGATGTGACATAGACTCTTTACGTAAGTGAAGGTCTAAGATAATCAAGGATACTATTTGACATGAATTTCACAAAATCTCCTCAATAATGTATTTATGCCTTCATACAATTCAGACTTCCTAAACACCGACTACAAGTTGGCTTAGGTCGGTGGCCCCATATGCCAGTGTTGGAGAGACCATGTATCTTATGCCAGCCTATGCTGGATATACACTAAACAAAGATCATTTTAGATGTTCCTAAACACTTTTACACAATATTAAAGACACATTTTATTTGTTTTCACTAATGCAAATCAGCAGAAAATGTTTTGAAAGACTGAAATCATAGGAATGATTCTTTTAAATTTTACACACTCTAAAACAGTTGTTTCTCGTTTTAATAGTTGAAAAATGGTGACTTGAAATGGTTTATCTTTGTCTCAAAGCAGAACTTTATTTCAACCTTTCTTTTGGACATCTAAATCACTGTTATTGGTTTATTTCGGTATGGTCGAAAATAGGACAATTTAACTCTTCTGAAAAAGATGCATTTCACCTAAATATTAATGCATTTGAGAATTGTTTTTCGTGATTTGCATAAAGCTGTGTCGTTAAGCTTTCTTGTAAACTAATACCTTCCAACATATCTTTGATGTATTTCAAGTAATTCATAAAGGAAGGAGGGTAACGTTTCTTTTGGTGTTTAGAGTAAGTATCACCATTTTTACGTTTGCCAATACTGTGTAGATATTTCAAAATATGTGATAACAAAATAGAATTATACATATTGTACTGTCTAAACATACATTCTATTTCAGTATGATAAAGGTATTTAAAAGTAAAAATGCCATTTATGTATATTAAGGTGAGGTGAAATTAGGTTTAATGTCGTGCTTGAGAATATTTCGCTCATATGACGACGTGCATGCGTGTGTATGTGTATGTGAAGCTGCTTGTACTAGCCCAGACTTAAGCTGGTTTATAGTGCTAGCCCACTGAGATACCATGCCGCAGTGAAGCATGAATATCCCACTCAGACACAGTATACTGACTCCGAGCCGACCAGTCCTTGTTGTACCCATTAATGCCGAGCGCCAGGCAGGGACCAACAAGTACCATATTTTAACGTCGTTTTGGTATGACGCGGTCGGGGATCGAACCCGCGACCTTCCGCGCTCCGGGAGGACGCTCTAACCACCAGAGGCGGTCATTTATATTAAGAAACTTTCTAGATGTTGATGTCACACAATCAACCAGTTTAAGATATTTAAACTGCAGCCAAATGCCAATACACTTAACTCCGAACTGCCTCAGTATGCTATGTAGGCATAAGTGAATAAAATTCTGTTCTGTTCTGAGAATAATATATTGAACATTTTATCGATAGATGACAACACACAAACATGTTCGAAATTATTCCTGGACTAATATCCAAAAGCACAATGTATTATAGCTTATATAAATATCTAATATTGCTATAATAAATGTAGAGGTGTAAAGATAGTTCTCGTGGAAGTAAAATGTCCTCATATTTTACTAATTATAGAGAGCTGACATTATTATTCCTACCTCAAGGACATTCAGTGGTAAGCAATGTTCAGTCTAAAACTTAATTACAGATAACATAAATGTCAAAACATGGATGGTAGGCAATTGCATTTGCAAACACCCATGCATGGGAAGCATATCTGAGAAAATTAATAAATATTCAAAATGGACGTCGTTTTCCAGCTGTGTGATGTCAACAATCAACCCCCAATAAAGCAGCGTATCTTTCTTTTGTTGCTTGTTGAAGGGTTAATGAGTAAAAAATAATGAAACTTGCTGTGCAGCTATATATAGGACGATGCAAGAAACGTTTCTCAAACCCTCAACTCAACAGCATACTAGGTAAGTCCTTATCCTGCAAAACACGTGAAGATCCGGGTTAGAATTGATCTTCAGTAACCCATGCTTGTCGTAAAAGGCGACTAACGGGATCGAGTGGTCAGACTCGCTGATTTGGTTGGTCCAGACTCGAATATTTACAGACCGCCGCCATATAGCTGGCATATTGCTGCGTGCGGCGTTAAACAACAAACCACCGACAATAACAATATCCTGCAATAGCATTGCATGCAAATGATGCATCCGAATCGGAAGCTCGTTGCTTGTATTGTTGTAAGGGGCAAATGGATCGGTGGTCAGTCTCGCTAACATGAATGGCCAATGACGTGAGTCGACGTCGTTTTGTCGTTGCTGATGATGTAAATATCTGGTTTGTCTGATGCAGTTTCGAGTATTCTGGCATATCGCTTAAATAATTCTAAATCATGCGTTGCAAATACAAAGTAGATTGTTCTAGAAATTGTTTTACATCAAAACGTATTGAGTCACGAGTCATTCATTTTGGTTCATTCAAAGTCTACGAACCCGAACGTAGCTTTAAATCAAATTATTCAAAATAGTTTAGTGTTTTCGTGTTGATTCTAGAATACAGCCTTTATGTGATCAGTACTTTAAGGCATTCTGTATTCTGAAATCTAAACTTACTTTGAAAAACTATTTCATGACTCATCAAGAATAGAACAGTGAACATGTAGAATCCATAAATTGTTTAGCTCAAACATACTTTCTCTCTCTGGATTTCAAACACAATCCTCATTTGTTTCATGCAGATAGAAGGACCTGGAACTGTCACATGTTGCATGTTTCTCCTTCAGATCAAGAGCAACACGGAAGATTATCACCATGCCTCGTGACATGCAAAAAGCGAAGATTGTCTATACCAATTCATGCAAGAGCTGTCATCGTAAGTCAAAACGATGTTGACATATACATCTAGTGGTCGTCGACTACCACTGTGAAGCATTGTGTAGAGTATCATTTTAGTGAGTCAGTTTGGTTTTACTCCACTTCGAGCAATATTCCACCACTATCGCGACGAGGGACACCAGAAATGGGCTTCACACATTGTACTCATGTGGGGAATCGAATCCGGATCTTCAACGTGACGAGCGAACGCTTTAATCACTAGGCTACCTCACCGCCCCGAGTGTCATTTTAAGTAATTCCAATGCACTTTTGAAAATCATCTGTGGTCACATATATACATGTACATATAAGCAGACTTATCCTTTCCATTATCAGCGTCTGTTTGTGTCTGGGCTCTGGGGTAGCCTTGTGGTTAAAGCCTTCGCAACGCCGAAAACCCCGGTTTGATTCCCTCCCCACATAGGAAGAATGCGTGAAGTCTATTTCTGGTGTCCCCTTTATGAGGTTGTTTGAATATTGCTAAAAGCAGCGTAAAATCATTCATCTGTTAATCATTCGGCAAAAATCGGAATGGTCCGGTTTAACAAGGCTTTTCTTTTTCTCTTCTGGCCTCTGGGGTAGCCTAGAGGTTAAAGGCTCTGTTCGCAACGCATAATTCCATATGGGTATAATTTGTGAAGCCTATTTCTGGTGTCCCCTTTGTGAGAGTGTTGGAATATTACTCAAAGCGGCGTAAAACCATAAACACTCAATCGGCAAATAACGGAACTCCGGTTTGATAAGACTTTTCTTTTTCAATAAGTCCGACTTTTCTAATATGACTGTAATTAATCTGGCCTTTAATTACAGTAAACTATAGTAACCTCGAAAATCAACGCACTGTGGACATCTTAAAATGTTTCTTGTTTGTCCACGTTAGAGAAATATTAATATAATCATTATGTAATTATGTGAGTGAGAGAGTGAGTTTAGTTTCAAGCCGCCCTCAGCAATATTCCAGCTGTATGGCAACGGTCTGTAATAATTGAGTCTGGACCAGACAATCCAGTGGTCAAGAGCATGAGCATCAATCTACGCATTTGGGAACCGATGACAAGTGTCAACCAAGTCAGCGAGCCTGACCACCCGATCCCGTTAGTCGCCTCTCACGACAAGCATGGGTTACTGAAGATCAATATTCTAACCCGGATCTTCACGGGTCTGTAATTATGTACGTTAGCCAGTACTTTAGTTGACTAATAACACACTGTCTGATCTGATTCCACTGTGTACTGATTAGCTATGTCACTATTTCAGCATCTGACGGACAAGACATGATGAAGAACATCAAATTCCAAGGATCTTGTCCTCAGCAACTTCCGGGAACCACGCTCTTCCCATCCGGTCTTCGCGTTCAGGAGACTACTTCAAGGGAGATAACCAAAGCGTAATAACCTCTTGAACAACATGCCTGTCAAGCAGCCATTTTCCTTGTGAAATATGATAAAATAATACCAAAAATATATTATCTGTTTTGTTTTGTTTCTTGTACATACTTTTTCATAAGGGTCCTTGAATTTTTCAATCACGTTGTTAATGGAAAACACGACGGACTTCAGGGGATTCTGGAGTCTTCACATTAGGCAGACTTCCTTTTAACACCTGTTCTGGTCGAATGAAAGAAAACAGAAGTCGAACCGTATTCTTTACTCCAAGTGAGTGGGTGAGGAGTTTTACGCAGCGTTTAGCAATATTCCTGCAATATCACTCCGGGGGTCACCAGAAATGGGCTTCACACATTGTACCCATGTTGGGAATCGAACCCGGATATTCGGCGTCACGAGCGAACGCATTAACCACTAGGCTACCCCTCCGCCCCCTTTACTCTGATGTAATGGACGATCGGAAACAGTCTTTCTTATGAGTGGTGTTTATATAAGTTTAAGTATCATGCATAAACCTAACGTGAGGTTAGGTGAGTAAGAGAGAGAGTGAGTGAGTGTGAGTGAGTTTAGTTTTACGCCGCACTAAGCAATATTCCAGCTATATGGCGGCGGTCTGTAAATAATCGAGTCTGGACCAGATAATCCAGTCATCAACAGATGAACATCGATCTGCGCAATTGGGAACCGATGACGTGTCAACCAAGTCAGCGAGCCTGACCACCCGATCCCGTAAGTCGCCTCTTACGACAAGCATGGGTTACTGAAGGCTCATTCTAACCCGGACCTTGACGGGTAGTAAGAGAGAGAGAAAGAATGCGACAGAAAGAGTTGATGAGAGTGAGTGAGAGAGGGTGTGTCATTGAGTCAATGAGTTTAATGACGCATTCAACAGAATTCCAGTTATATCACGGCATTTCTGCATAATGTGGGACGACGTGAGGTGAAAATGCAATGGGATTTAACGTCGTAATTATTCGCCCATGCGTGCTTTGTGTGGCTGCTTGTACTAGCCCAGACTAAAACTGGTTTATAGTGCTGGCCCACTGAGATATCATGCCGCAGTTAAGCATGAATACCCCACTCAGACACATTATACTGACTCCGAGCCAACCAGTCCTTGTTGCACCCATCAGATGAGACGATTAGCACCACGGTGACACCCACGTGCTGACAAACCTTGAAACATAACAGGAGAGAACGAGAGATTCGAAAGCTGTCACCGTTATGTTAACCCCGTCCCTCTACGCAAATCTTGAAGCAAACACGATTTCTTTTGAGCACAGCAGTTATATTTTCCGGTAGTTTGTGAGTCCACGATTCAACAACATTTCACCCTCAGATCATGATCAGTTCATCGGCGTATTCGAATATTGGCAGCTACGTGGAGTCCTGGTTGTCCACAATTGATAAACGTAAACAAATGAGTTTAAATATATAAACGTCAATATATTTAAGTGATCTTGCCCCATGAGAACATGTTGATGGCCTGTGTTGAGTGACCTGACGTGACACTATGCTGAAGAGGCACGGTACTAAAGCATGTCCTTGTGGACACACACGCAAGATCAATATATCCATTGACCCTCTTGTCCACAATACACAGTTAGCTGTCCTCACATGCCAATCAAGTGTACAGTTCAAGTAAATAATCCAGCAATATGTTTGATCGGCATTCTAGAAGTTGGTGAGTCCATCAATAGGATTGAAAACCTGTCAATCAGGTTGTCAACAGCAACCAGGACAGAGTTCACTACCAACAATCACGTTCAACCGAGCAACGCTTAATCTGCCTCTCCTGTGTAATATTCCCCATGGAGCTTATATTATGAACAACACTAAGTAACACTGCATGTTGTTTTGTGATGTTGTTTTTTTAAAGGGGTGGGGTGAGTTTAATGCCTGTTTGAACAACAGTGGAGTTCTATATAAAAATAACTCTGCATATTTTTGTTTTAGGCTATTTTGTACTGAGTGAGTTTAATTTTAAGCCGCTTTTAACAATATAGCAAAATCAAGGCGGGGACACCAAAAATGGGCTGCACACATTGTACCCATGTGGGGAATCGAACCATTGTCACCGGCGTGATGAGCAAACGCGATAACCACTAGGCTACCCCATCGCCCTGTTTTGTCAAGGAGTGGGGTTCGCTCAAAGCAAGTTTCAACATTGTTGGAGTTATATATGACAGTAACTGTGTATTGTGAAGATTGTATGTTTATGATATTTTGTAAAGTAATTAGACGGGTTTGAACAATATTAGAGTATATATGACAATGAATGTACGTGTTGTTGTTGTGTTGTCTTGTAGGAAGGGGGTAAAATTAAATATGAATTTGAGCAACATTGGAGTTCTTTAACACTGTAAATATACTCTCCCAAAATGAAATGCATAGGTGTACTTTCACTCTGTAAATAGTTAGCTCCCAGTAAGTGAAATTGTTTTAACGCTATTTGTGTCACTTTCCTGCGGCTTTTCATCTTAAAAAGTGAGTGAGTTTGGTTTTACGCTGCTTTATACTATTCACGGAGCTCCAAGTGATGCAGGTCCAAGACATTCATCATCATGGTGACACCCACGAGCGAGGTACCGGTATGTACTGACAAACCAACACGCACCAATGAAAGACATAACCGCTGGTTTCTGGTACGTCTAAAGGGGCGGTGGGGTAGCCTAGTGGCTAAAACGTTCGCTCGTCACGCCGAAGACCCAGGTTCGATTCCTCACATGGTACAATGTCTGAAGCCCATTTCCGGTGTCCCCCGCCGTGATATTGCTGCAATATTGCTCAAAGTGACGTAAAACTAAACTCACTCACCGGTACGTCTGAATTACAGCGCCTTAAAAGACATGTCAACTCCTTTAAATAGTGCGAATATAGCCGTAACAAGAGAGGCATACGAGCATTTAGAACAGTGACGATGCTTCACCATGTACGTAAGGCATACGGAGTTCAATGTTGGTGATGTCGTAAGTGGCAGCTGGTGTTGTGGTGACAACAGATTTCATGTCTTCGGACCGTACGTGAGATTTCTATCAACCGACGAGAAACAGTTCTTTGTATTCAGGAGACTGTACCGTTGGCCATGACAGTATGATGTTTTAGCGTTGTTTGTGTGGGTGACAGAGGACCAAAATAGGTTGTTGGGACCTGTTATAACAAGGAACCACCACGGGAAACAAAGATAGCATCAACACCATATAGAGGAACTTTAATTTAAATCCCTGACGTTCAGTAAATAGATAATTTCTATAATCACATGCATACATTTTTATTTCCTTAATAATAATTATCATCATTAACATGAATCATCAATTCAATCTTTCCTCCCACATCAACTGACTGACTGAGTTTAGTTTTACGCCGCGTTTAGCAATATTCTAACAACATCACGGCGGGGGACACCAGGAATGGGCTTCACACATTTTGCCCATGTGGGGATTCGAACCCGGGTCGTCGGCGTAACGAGCGAACGCTTTAACCACTAGGCTCCCCCTTCCCACATCAAGTTGACACACAGTGATATAACTGGTATACCGTTTAAAGTGGCGTTTCACTCACTCACTCACTCACTCAATCACTCTTTCACTCAATCACTCAGTCAATCAATCACTCAATAAATCACCAACTCACCGATTCTGAAATGTCATTGCGCATAATACAAGTGTAACACTATGTCAGTTTATCTTGAATAAATACACACCAAATGTCTGTAGCAATCGGTTTACCTCAAGAATAACACAAACAGCTGAACCCTGTTATTTTGTAACATGACCTACCCAGAACCGCGTTATCGTGTCTGTGTGACCTGATGACCTACATGAATAGCTCAATAAGCTTCCAATAAATTTTGTCTTACACTTATTAAGAAGTACATATTGGATTTAGACAAGCTCTAGGGTTTACATTATTCTTTACGAGAGATATAGAGGCAATACATAAAACCGTTGTGTTCGGCTGTCTGTGTGTTATTACACTACATAGATATACATTATAGAAATCTCTGTATACATATAACCTGAGGGGGAGAATGCTGCTATGTCACGGAAACTTGAAATTTTAGGATCTCAGTCAAGATACTCTGTTATTCTTTGAAATTGAAGAAGAGGAAGAGGACAACTGGAATGATAGCGAAGTGAAACTTAAAACCTTTCTACATGTTTCTTACGAGAAATTGATACTAAATGGCACTGCTGCCTACAGGTTAATTACACAACATCAAATGTTTTCCCATAGACTTCTATAGTAACGCTATATTGTTTTTAAATCATCCAGGCTGTCAACAGCCATTCCATGTACACATGGGTACAGTCTGGCCTTTAAACTACAATAAAAACACAAATTCCGGTTAACTTTGCCTGCTAATTTTCCGAGCACAGGAAGCTGAACACATCAACCCCAGTTCCGCACCAAATGTCACCTACTTGAAAATATTTGTAAACACATAAAGCATAGGTCATGGTGATAACAAATGACAGCACTAAATACTTAAAATTGTGGTCTGTTTTAATTATCAGTTGGATGTGCTTTTAAAAACATAAAAATCTTACACTATTTCATCCAATCACAGCTGTCACATGTCTTTATCTCTTCAGATGTTTATATACGCAACTTGCTCAAGGTGCACGTGGTTCTGATTTAGTGTAGTAAAAAAAACTTGTTGAAATCGGGAGGCGTGTCCAACCCAGCCGATAGCACCAGTCTACCAACACTGAGCAGCGAGCCCCAGCCCACAGTACAGACTCGAGCAGACGACGTGACAGCTCACCCGATCTCCCCGAGACTGGGCGCAGTAGACGACACAATAGGGCTGTAACGATGCATCGAACTATCGATAGATTGCAGTTGTTGAGCAACCCGAGCAACTGTCATCAGACTGATGCAACGACAAAGACAAACAAGCAATACGTCAGACAGGCCTAGGAGTGTGACAACCTCCGGTGATGGTCGCCACATCCGGACAATTCATCTGAGAAATCCTTTTGTAACGACGACGGCACATGGACACTGTATCAGTCGACATACAATGTACCGGCGACAACATGGTATCCGAGCACGTCGACCCTTCCGCGGTGT